TAATGGAAAGCAACCAAAGTAGGTTCGACAGCTACAGTCGTTAGGAACAGTGTATTGATCACATCCCATATTACCTTTCGGGGTTGTCGCGTGCACATTTTTTCCGACAACCTTTCTCGAAATAGCTGTATTTAAATTGCTAATCTCCTAATCGCATTGAAGCTTGTTTCAGACGCGCAGCTAGCGGTCTAATCTTTTGTTGTTGCGCACTCCTTTGTAACGTGCCCAGTCATTCAGTCTCATTTACATCTAGAGTGAAACCCCGGAGATTAAGGAGGGAATAGAAAGTGCCTGTACTAACGCGGCTGTCCGTATTAAGCGTGTCCCCGGCGGGTCACCTTTTATTTTTTTCAAACAAAATACTAAAGAAATAAAACAGGACATATTTATAAACATCGTCAAATTAACCAACTTTTGCCTTCAAAGAGCCCTCATTCCGCGGACTATGTCCATGGGAACGCTCGAGTCGCTCATTTTATGTCACGATATTTGCTATCTTTTTAACTTGAGCTAAAATGTGTCGTCGCATGAACTGAACTGAAAAACTAATGGCATAGTTGTGTGGTATTGAAACTGTTTTTCTGCAGGGATGGGCACGGATTGAAACTTGAACTACCGTATTTATTCGAATAAGCGCTGAAACTCGAATTAGCGCCCACCTCGAATAAGCACCCATACTAAAGGCAGAAAAAGTTAATAAGCGCCCAGCCTCGAATAAGCGCCCACCCCACCCCACCTCCCTCTCACTCCCACTCAAACTCAAATAAGCGACCCCCCCCCGGCCCCAACCCCCCAAAATTGAATAAGTACTAACAAGAGACTTCCTCAAGGGTGAGTTTTCTTCAGAGTATTTTACAGGAACCTTGTTTTGTTACCTCTTCGCTTTTTGTTATCACCATTTATTGTTTTGTTGCAAAATAAACATACTATTCTTGATGAAAATGTTGAAAATTTAATAAGCGCCCAGCCCGGAATAAGCGCCAACCTCGAATTAGCGCCCACTCTCAAGGTCCAAGAATTTAATAAGCGCCCAGGTCGGTTAATCGACTAAATACGGTAGTTGGGTCAACTTTTCCTAGTATCTCGTTTGACGCCAAAATAGTCTGAAATTGACGCCTACAATTCATCTTATCCCGTTTACTGTAGAGCTGGGAACATAGACATGATGTCAACTGAATCGCCCGATGTAAGAGAATCTAAGACAGTTCAATGCCACAGATTACGGATTGCAGGTACTGGATTCCACTCTTTGTCAGTGGAACTTGGATTCTGGATTCCAATCGCTAGTGGGATTCCGGATTCTTTGAGCATTATTCCAGATTCCACAAGCAAATTTTTCTCGGATTTCGGATTNTGGCTTTGTTACCTCTTCGCGTTTTGTTATTACCATTTATTGTTTGGTTGCAAAATAAACATACTACTCTTGCTGAAAATGTTGAAAATTTAATAAGCGCCCAGCCCCGAATAAGCGCCAACCTCGAATTAGCGCCCACTCTCAAGGTCCAAGAATTTAATAAGCGCCCAGGTCGGTTAATCGACTAGATACGGTAGTTGGGTCAACTTTTCCTCGTGACATAGGCCCTTCAATCAAAAGCCGTTCTCTGCATATCTCGTTTAACGCCAAAATAGTCTGAAATGGACGCCTACAATTCATCTTATCCCGTTTACTGTAGAGCTGGGAACATAGACATGATGTCAATTGAATCGCCCCATGTAAGAGAATCTAAGACAGTTCCACGTCACAGATTCCGGATTGCAGGTACTGGATTCCACTCTTTGTCAGTGGAACTTGGATTCTGGATTCCAATCGCTAGTGGGATTCCGGATTCTTTGAGCATTATTCCAGATTCCACAAGCAAATTTTTCTCGGATTTCGGATTCCACACGCAAAACTTTTCCGGATTCCAGAATCAGGATTCCCTTACATGGGGCGAACTGAATGTTTCCTTTTTTTTTACCTTCCACACAGAAAGGTTTATTACTGCATACAGTTGACAATGAAGTGTCCGCTTTAGAGAGGTTACTTTTTGAGAATCAGTTGATTGGGCAAGAAACAAGTGTCCGTTGTCCGCATTATTAAGCGGTTTGAATTGAGAGAAATGGTAAGGCCTTTCCCCAGGGACAAATTAAAGAAAAGTATCCATAACAGGACATGAGGTGCCCGCATTAGTGGGTGTCCGTAAAGCGCGGTACTCATCACTCCTGTTTTTCCATTTCCACACAGACTGATACAAACTACTGTTCTCATATATAACTCCATTTATTCATTAACCTCCTTTAAGATTTTACAGACGTCACTAATAAACAGGTAATCGACAAAGTTATATATACAAGCATGACATAAAAATAACCAAAAAGACCTGTACAGAAGTCCAATGGCCAAAAAGCTCATCAATTTCAGTGCGTGTGTAACACGCTACTACCGGTTTTCAATTTTCTGGGTTTTATTTGGGAAACAGGTTACCTTACTATTCTGGTTAACTCGCCTTTCTACCGAACCCTACGTGAACATTCTGCGACGAAACGTCATTTGAAACGAGAACCATCGAAGTATTTAAGTGTAGGGATTGGTCAGCAGGTGTCCATGGAAACCGCCAGCAATTCATAACGTAACTTGGCTCTAGGAGCAATCCTAGAAACCCAGGGATCGTCAGCGGATTTGTCACATTGTCAATGATTTCGCCTCTAATTACAAAAACAAGTGAAACGCATGGTTAACGGGCCTACTAAACATTACAGAGATTTGTAATCGCATTCACAGCATACGGCAATTTACTTCAATTTGAAGACGGGTCGGTACCACTTGTCTTGTTCTGTGGCGATTATTACAACCAAAGTTCAGTACTAGTTTACTGCTCGTAGCTAAAGATGACAGGCGAAATCATTGACAATACTATAACTAAACCCCTTCAAGTCCAAAAAGGAATAGGCTCCTGTTTGTACAGTCAACTCTCTCTAAGACGGACACCTTTGGGACCGGCACTAAGTGTCCGTCTTTGAGAGGTGTCCGTCTCATAGAGAGTCAAATAAAAGGAGTAAAGAAAGGCAGGGACCAACTCTAGGTGTCCGTTTTACAGAGGTGTCCGTCTTATAGAGGTGTCCGTTAAGAGAGAGTCGACTGTATACCTTTTTCAACAGAAGGCTCTAAGGCAGATCTTTCACATGGTACTATTTGCTGTTGATCAGCATCTCATGCTATAAAATCCGAAAAAAGAGCAACAGCTTTGTTGCAGCCAACTAAAAAATTAACATTAGTAGTCTGCAACTGCAGCCGTTGTTTGTGTGATCACGCAAAGTACCTGTGGCGTTTATTGACAACGACAAGCTAGCCGCACACACTGTTCTTTTAAACTCATCGTTAACTTTAAGTTCTTTATATATATAAAAAAGAATAGTCGCTGAAGACTAATCCTCTAGCCTGAAGAGGACCTAACCTGTTAACAGTGAGAAGATGACCTGTAAACTGTCGAACCTTTGCTCGAATTTTTGCCTATAGGCCACTTAAAATTGTACGTAGGACTGGATCAGTTCTGTATGAAATTGCATTATAGGATTGTTTGAGAGAACTACCGACGCTGTCGCGCCTTGCGGCACAGTAAAACGTGCAACTTGTTTGGCGACTTTGCTGCCAGACGAGTTGAATAGCGATGTTGCGCGTATTGCCAACCACGTTCGAGCATGTCTTGCAGCAAACAAGGCCGCAAGGGTTTTTTTTCGAGGGGGGTAAAACGCGCAAGATCGCCAATCAACTCGTTTTACAGCAAACTCGAAAGACAAGTTGCAAGTATCTTGTTGCCCGTATTACAGTACTTTTATATTCGCGAGATCACATAACCTGGAAACTGGGTCCAAATTCTTTCCCAAAAACAGTCCCACAGTGCAATTCGATACAAACTCGACCCAGTCCCACTCTTACCCTTAAAATGGCTAATGTGTCCTTGACAAGCAACAAGAGAACAGAAACGATATATAGTACAGTCGCAGTTCTATTATAATCCTTCAGTTTTATGGTGCAGAAATCCTTTTGCAGGATGCAGGAATATCTATAAGGCATGTGCCGGCTTAGCTGAAGATTTAACAAAGTAGCAGGGCGAGTGTAGGTGTAGATTTCGACTGAGTATGGATCGTACATCGGAGACAAATCTAAGCGCATCCAACATTGGAAGAAGATTTAATAACGCTGTATCTGATGGATCGGCGAACCAGGACTTGATTGGAATGGCATTATCTGCAGACAAAATTAAAAATTAAAATTACTTGCATGTCACTGAAAAGCAGCAATCCGGAGTGGTTACAAATTAATGAAAGTAAATAGGCGACGTTACATGAGACGATTTTAGACTCCTTTATGGCAACAAAATTGTAACGATTTGCCTTAATGTTGCCCTAAAGCCTGAAAAACGGTAATAAACGTGAAAAAATAAAATAAAATAAAAAAGAAATAAAGAATAAAATCCAAGCTTAACTGAAATAACTTCTCTGATAAGTATGTTCACCTTGTTGTAAAGTGTTGTATCTCATCGGGCGAACTGACTTAAGTTCGGGCGAATCGACTCTCGGGTGAAACGACTGCAACTCCAGTCATGTGCCCAGGAAAATTTTCCACTACCATTAAACATTGCAAAGCGGGGGAGCATACAGGCTTTCTGCCGCCGACCGAGGCATTTTTGGTTATCGCAATTTTTAGTCTTGTTTTCTTTAAACGTTCTAATATTTAGGCTTTTTAAAAAGTATTTTTTTTGTATCCTCCTCTTATATTGCTTTAAATGCAATAAAACTATGAAACTACAAATCTTCAGTTAAAGTAGCTTTTAAGACTCTGGGCCCCTATGGAGACCAACGCCCACGCTGAAAGGGGCCACCCTGTTGAAATAAAGTTTAACTTTACTCATACTTTATGTGCCTACTGCTTTACCTGGGTTGTATTGATAAGCACCAGGGGAGTTGTCCAAAATAAAAACTGAGGACAGATCTTCATTGACTATTGTTAAATCTTTAGTATAGCTACCAAAATCTAACGTACAGTGCTGCAAAATGGAAACAAACTGCATTAGGCCTAACACAAAAACGTGAATACTTGCATAAAATGTACGGTAATACCGAATCCAGCGGGGGGGGGGGCGGGGGGGGGGTGCCCACGCTTGTTCTGGGCAGGGAGGGGAAAAGAAATGCTACAAGTCCACCTCTCAAAATTTCTTCAAAGTGAGCGAGGCGATCTTCAATACATGAGGGCGCACCAGACCCGAGCTAGGGTGGAATTTGCAAAATAAAATTTCTTTGGGGGGGGTGCCCACGTCTGTTCTGGGCAGGGAGGTGAAAAGACATGCTACAAGTCCACCTCTCATAAGTTCTTCAAAGTGAGCGAAGCGAGCTTCAATACATGAGGTCGCACCACGACCGAGCTAGGGATGAAGTCTCTAGATCAACTTTCTTCTCCTTAATGAATTGGAATAATATTATAAATTCACACGGGAAAATAATGATTGACATATGCTATGTTGGGAGCGGGGTAAAATATCACTCACTGTCCCATTGGTCAATTGTCATGAGGTCACTGGTTGAAATTTCGACGGGTAAATTTCGCGTCAAACAAGACATAGTATGAAAAAGTCCTCTAAAATGGCATAACCAACCACGAAAAAAATAAAGGACTTTTAGAACGTCTAGGAGGTGCAATGACCTTTTTTCCAGTTGTAAAAATTAAATGCATTTTAGGGATTTTAATTTCGGTATTTCCATATGGACCTTTTCGAACTTTGACAAAAAGAATATCTTGTGGTTTTCGTTTAATTCAGATCCTCTCAGGTTTTAACCTTAGTGTGGGATGGGTTTAGCAGCTTGGCGTTTCATAAAAACCGTTCCACTCACTGATCCATGACTACAGCTGAGTATTCCGCTCTTTAACACAATAGCTGGTATCAAAATGCATAAGGGATAAAGATGAAAAAAGTGGACACGCAAAGTAAGGTGGATCTCACCCCAGTAAAATAGTTTCCATCAACTCTAAGAGAACAAGTCCTCTTCTCCTAGTTTGTTAAGGATGATCAAAAAAGATCCTGATTTACAGCACTTTACCTGTCGGAAGTATCTTCTATTTAACATTCCTCTATTTCTGTCTAAGTTATCAGCAACAGCAGCACCATAGATCTAGAATACAAGCAAACAATACTTCCTATGGTAAACGTACTATAAGTGAAAACCACTATTAGCTCTTAAAGTCCCGCAAGAGTCAGATCAACAAATTTCTGGAAGACAGCGCCTGCTGTATTTCATCCTTATCGGAGAAAGCTGGAATGTCCAACCATTTTCAGATGTCAGAGCAAAGGAAGCACAATATTCTCAGTTATTTTAAGCCCTTAACAATAAGGAGGTCAGATGAGAATCTAAGCTGGACTTGACGCCCTGAAGATAGGAATCCAGCTGAGTCTCAAATGGGTACCGATCAGCACTTGGTAATAAAATAATAAAATAAAATAAAGTAACAAAGAGACATTCTGTGATGTCTTACCTCCATACTGGCAGTAAAAATCACAAGATCATACCACTGACTCACCTGCCAAAGAAAACAAAATTATCACATCATTGATTTCATAAGTTTTTGTAATGTACATATTTAAGTTACATTACACTTAATAAAATCATCCTATGTCTACATGTAAGCACATCAGGCCTGGATTATTAAACCTCATCGCTGTCTTAATTTTTGGGAAGGAGCTAAAAGTTACATGTAACACCTTTATTTATTCTGATCATGGTAGTTTTTTCCTCAGTGAGGTAGAAACTGTCTCATGATAAGGCAATTGCTTGGTTTCAAGACATCTCTTGTTCTCAAGAAAAGGATTCAGAGACCACGAACCCTTACGATACCCGTAACCTTTACCCATTTACCCTAACCGATACCATTAACCCATGCTCATCATCCAAGAATCGCTTGGGATAAGAGTGGTTTTGCTGCACTGATCAACGCATATTCGCCAGTGCAACTCCATGGTAACAGGTTTACCATCTGGAGGATTTTAATGGTAGTGTACTGTATGTTTTGATCAAAAAATCATTCTTGGTCACACCTTAAAGAATACTGTCCCATAATGTTTAAACAGTGCTCATCTTCTGCAACAAGGAGTTAAAAGGGATACTCACACATTCAAGAAAGAAGTCCACATGAGGTCTCTTGTGAACAAAAAATCTGATTGGGTGATGGTCTATTGTGACCTGTGAAATCAATTAAAAAGCATTTTTTAACTGGTTGAGGAGAGGACAAAACGTAAAATTAAGATTATCTTTTTAGCTACACTGTCATTTCGAAAAGGGCAAATTACACTGTAAAATAATGACAACTGCAGTAATTTATTGGCCAGTGATAAATGGTAATCCTTGTCTTTTGTGACAATAAAAAATTAAAATTAATACAATGTACTGTACCAGGAATACTGTCTTTTTGCAACAACTAAAATTTCATCACATGTAAGTGTCAGTTACAGGTAGGATTTTCTTTGTGTCCTAAGATCAATTAGGGTGAGAAACGTTTAAGATATTCCTTAAGCTTGCAGTTAAACTATACAGTCATGTATACAGTTGCAACTCACACACAGACGAAACTACGTAAGTCAAGAACCTCTTTATTATGATTTGCATTAAATCAATACTCTTACCCGAAGTACAAAATCTGGAGGAGTTCCGGGTCTTACCGTCTGTCTTTGAACACTAAAGATGAAATGAAAAGAAAAGGTGTATTAATTATTACCTGGTAAGAGTATAACAATGTAGTTTGACTATTTTTTGTCAGGGTTCATACACTTTTTTGATCAAAAAATTCAAGGACTTTTCAAGGACACATTTCCCATTTTCAAGGACTCCATTCAATGCAAAAAAAGCCCTGAGTATATGTCTTTTTTTAGTTCTTCAGTGTTCAATGTGAGCAATTTTATCCTGAACATCTTTCTGTGTTTGCTCCTTTTAGATACATGAAAATCCGGGTTGGACAAAGTTAGCACCAAAATTCAAGGACTTTCCAGCCCAGACTGCAATTTTCAAGGACTTTCAAGGCCTTGAATTTCCATTTTAAAATTAAAGGACTTTCAAGGTGCGTGCAAACCCTGTTTTGCCCTCCTCAGATTATTTTATTTCAAAGTGCTAAGAAAACTTGTAAGGATTCCACAGGCTTTGGTCAGAGACCAAGGACATTAATACATCTTTTTATTACAGGAAAATAAAGGGCCAATTTAATCACAACAAGATGACCCCATGCATCCTGGCAACCATAAAATTAATAGACCTGGTGGCTCATGAATGACTTGTACTAAAATCTTAATCACTTTACTTGTTGTTATATGACAAGACTTAGCTAAGTTACTGTGGGATTCAGTCCAAAGCTTTAGTATTATAATTTTTGTCAACCTTCAGACGTCAGTTATTCTGTCAATATTATTGACATATTAAATAATTATGTTTCCAAAGGAAGTGGTAGATGGCCATAGACAAGGCACATATTTTTCTTTCCCTGGTAAATCAAAGGTTCCTTACCCATCATGATGTGAATGTATAAGTGTTTCATCCAAGTCAAGAACTAAAGTTTTTCTTTTTACTAGTCCTGTAAATAAAAATACATTATTACTTCTTAGTACCAAGAGGAACACAAAAATTCACAGTTCATACATATATGTCATAGTCAGGCCTGTCAAAAAGTTTTTAAGTAGCAGGCTCATAATGAATAGTAGGCGGCTTTTGAACTCGCACCAAAGGCACAAGTTACTTAGGGCCAAGGTATCTACATGTAGGGACATTCTGAAAGTTAGTCTCGGAAATCACATTTCCAGGGGTTTTCAAGAGGTATTTTCCACTGCGGACACCATGTTGTTTTGTCAGAATACATGCAAGACTGGGAACAATGCCATTGAAATGTCCCAAGCGTTCCACGACATTACACAGTTCGAATGTTTTACAGATCTAAACCTGTTTAAATGTGCATTCACTATCATTCAAAACCATTTACTGGGAAACAGATGCTTTACAATTTTATTTGATGGTGCTTATTTTTTGTTAGCAGGCTTTATGGTAGAAGGAGATGAAAGTAGCCGGCTTAGGATGGCTAACTAACCAGCAGTTTTGGCTGGCTACCAGCCCTTATTGACAGCCCTGCGTAGTTAATTTCTTAACTCAGGTAATTCTTATTTTTCCTTTGTTTCAACTCATTAGCATACAGTTGTACATTACCATACCCAAAAACAAAAGGAAAACAAAAATTATCTAAGAAAAAAAAAAAACTACTGTACAACATGTATAAAAAAAGCTAAATTTTGTTTTCTTTTTTTGTGATGGGTATACTTACTTAATCTTTGAGTAGATATAGGTGAAAGGGGAAACAATTGATACTTTACAGTCTTGTGTTGTATAACCTGTGTAAAAAGACATTGATTAATTGGTATTAAAAGCAACAATGAATTTAAATATTACAGGTTAGAGCAACGACCAGCCAACATGGATGGAAGACCAGCTAGGGCTGCTACTGCAGGTAGAGTTAAAGTAGCTCTGTCACAACCTCAGTTTGTGGTCCTCTTTTTGTCTCATACTCAAAAAATGGGAAGAGGGCAAATATGATTTTGCCAGAAACAACCCCAATGTGCCAAATGCCTCCCTTACAAATGCCTGGCTAGATGCAAAAATTATGATGATGATGATGATGATGATAATAATAATAATAATAATAATAATGATAATAATAATAACAATAATAATAATAATAATAATAATAATAATAAAGTGATTTTACTTAACCCTTGAAATAGGTAGTAGTATACTATGAACTATTATGCACTAATTCTATTGTCTTCTTTTCTTTATTTGTACCTATTTGGCACTAGTTGTTACTAACTTTTTCATGGGTCAAGTAAAATTGCTCTAATGATAATAACAACAACAATAATAACAATAACAATAACAACAATAGCAATAATGTTAATGACAAAGATAATGATCATGAATGACTATTGATAATGATAATAATAAAGATAATGATGATGATAAAGAAAATATAACAATAATAGTAATAATATGTGCTCCTGAAAATGTTTTCATTTATTGTTGCTACAGTCATTATTTAGACTAAATTAGTTTGAACACCCTGTATTCGTTTCCGCCTACATGTAAAGGTATAAATCTCAGGGAAAAAGAAGAGTTGGACTGCATAAAATTAAATTAGATTACTGCCACTGACAATATCTAATCAATGAAATAATAATTCACAACATAATCTGTACTTTCTTTGAACTGCAGAGTAGTGTAACAAGGGATTTAGTTTGGAAACTATGATGTAAATAATATTCAGTAAAACAATGAAAGCAAGGATAGGTCCATTATAAAAGGTAAAGTTTTACTCTGCCAGCAAAAATGTCAAAGATTTGAATTACATAATTCAGGATAAAAAAAAACAACAAAAAAAAACCTTTGTTCTTTCTCGAGTTTGTTACACGTGTGCTGCTTGGCAACTCAATCACCCTCAAGCTATAAAAGTATATCATATCAAGTGAGTGAAAACTTTTTCACAGAGAAATGAGGTTACAAAATTGTTCATGTGCAATGTACATCAATTAATTGTTTGCTTCTTATCAACTTCCGTTTTGTAAAGGGCAAAGCTATAACTGAAAGCTTGCAGTTTGCGTTGAAAAATGAAAGATATCAGACAATGCAACAAACAAATCAAAAGTTGCCCCGGGGAAAAAGGCGTGACCTAATAACACCTGAACGTAACCAAATGCCTCAGCTCTTGGCAATTCAAAATGAATGACTGCATAACTTAACCTTTCAATTTCCTTGTTTGTCTAACAAAACACCTCGTTATTAGCTTGCCAAAGGTGAAGTTTAAATAATAATCAAACTCAAATAAAATCGCTGCAAATTCAATAACCCTAACGCCATAACTGTCTATGGGCCACATGAGAGAGTATAGCAGATTCAAAGCAAATTTAATATTTAATTCGCAAAAATATGCATCAGATTGACAACTTGGGCTTATATTGGTGCAAGTAAATAATTTGCTTCCATACAGATTGCAGCGCGTCCACAACATAAGCAAACAACGCAAATTATCTGCTTTGATTTTCACCTTGTTCGAGGATTTATGTAATTCCCTCCATACCTTTTTTAAGTTCCTTCTCAGAACGTACAGTATGAGTGTCCAAATCTTGATTAGGGCCATCATGAAAAATCGAATTCCTATGATGTTGTACAAACTTCTCAAACAATCCATGGTCGCGAGCACCCACATTGAGAACTTCTTGAAGACACCCGAGCACAAACTCTTGGAAAAAACAAAAACTGTCCGCAAGCTCGAACTCCAAACTTTTGTACTCATAACGCTATATTCTGACCGGTGAAGACACCATGTTTGTGTTCTCAGATCGAAAGCGCATGATTTGCTGGGAACGAGCCTGACCGCTAAGGGCCCTGGGATAGATAACCTCGTTATCGCGACAACTTATTCCGAAACGAGGCTTCCAATCCAAGATGGCGGGAGATACGAGCCAAATTTACTAGGTTCTATTTTCAGCTTTTTTTTCGGACTTTTGGAATTCCTGCGCTGTGTTTTCACATCTCACCAAGGTAACCTTATTTTTTCAAAAACTTTTTTTGTGTGTAGTGTGCTCATGGCGTGATTTTCACTTGCTTATTTCCCTAAAATTCCTCCCACGTGAGAAGAAAAGTCAGTTTCTCTGGAACAACGTGTAGGCAATTCCAGTCTTTAGTTGATATGTTTCGATTCTGAAGAAACCTCTTTTACCTTTGTTTTGCATTCATTTTATTCGTATATCTGTTTGTCCTGGCTATGGCTAAGGGTGTGCTTGTATTTAACTGTGTGGATTTTATTACTACAGTCTGGCTTGTGATGGATCAAAGTTACTCTGGTGTGTACTGTCTTCGAGGGACGAGATCCAGATACCGTTATGCTGTGGCAGGTTTGTTTTCAGATCCTTAAGAAACTGCAGAATATCCTTCGAGCAGATCTATTTTGGTTGGTCTAATTATACTGCTAGGGCAGCCAAGAGGACCTTCTCAAGAAATAATTCTTAGACCTGTTGAACATGAAAAAGGATTAAATCCATAGATACACGGCGTGCACGTGGTTTTGATTAGTTGAACGATTCTATAGAGAGTATCTGTCAGCCATAGTGCATGTACCGGTAATCATAATACACATGGTCTTACCGTGTAACTTAAGTATTCTAAACACAGAGCATGGTTTTTTGTCATAACTGTTGCTCAGCAGGTTTTGAGAATCATTTGGTCGTTTATCTGACCAGGATTAAGCAGGGAATGTTGAAGAAAACTCTCTGCTCATAAGGCACCAAATACTTAGCACTTTTAGCAGGCTTGCCCTGGTTGTTGAAATGTTAGATAGCACTATCCACCAGAAAAATCACTATCCAGTGTATACAACGTTCTCCCTAAATTTTAGCTCAGCAGGTAAGGGACCATTCATCGCCGGTAAGGCAAAAAATATGTGCGCACTCTCCAGCGGAGGGGGTAGTAGAGTGAAGGACATGGCTTCGACAGTCGCTGTGAAATTTACGAGCTAAGTTCACTGAAACGTCATTCCCCCTCATTTGAAGTCCTATTTTACGCAAATGAGCCGTTGTTATCTCAATTTAAAACGTTTGATTCTAATAATTGTGCTCTGTCTTCAAATGCTCTCTTTCCAAAATGCGTGACCCATAAAAAGAAAACCTGTGTATGCTTTAGTATTGCTTTAGTACACTTCCATGTATTCATTCATTACCTTGATCAGATCGGATCACAATTTATGTATTCTTTAAAACAACTTACTTAATCTTAATAAACCTTCAGGCGGTTTCAGGCGGTAAGAAGTGTTACTTCAGACAGTAAATTTTACCGGTTACCGCCTGATAAGGAGAACACTGTGTATAAGTCTTTGGGCAACCATTGCAATATCCACTACAGCTAGATATGGATTTTTCCAGCAGATGACACTATCAGCCTTTTGAAAAAACTGGGCCCAACTTTGTAACCTGGTTTCCTTCTTGATCCCAGGGATTGCAAATTAGTAAGGAATGCTAGGGTGAAATTATTGCAAAAACAGTTTACAAGAGGTTGGACACTCATCATTACAGGACAAAAGTAACTTGTGGTGAAATTTTGGATTCTCCCTACCTTGTATCAGGAATCACCAAGGGACTTGTTCCAAGCACCACTACCCCTGAAACCCCTACCTTTGAAGAATCTACTGTCATCAAAATTACATATGCTTTTGCTACTGGTTTAGTGAGATTGCACACTTAAGGATTCTGGTCCTTTTAGCTCCACTTGGATGCCATACCATTAGCTCTTCTTGTTGTATAAGGGTAAAAACACTAAAACTAACACTGATCAAGACTAAAGCAATTTGATTGGTGAAAAATAAAACAGATCATGTTTATCATAAAATGCCTAATCATGTTACTTTTTCTGATGAAATAAGTAATAGTGGCACTCCACCATACACTGAAAGGCTGAAAAATCAGTAACTATTAATTTTTAACATGGCAAAGTGAATTTTACAATTGACACCAAACCCTAGCTAGCTCGAACAGTTTTATGTTTCCCTTCAGAGTTCGAGTTACCAGGGTTCTACTGTATACTTGAAACAGAGTTACACTTGATCAAACAACAATTATTGTCTACATATAATTTTATTTAAATCTGTACAGGAAGGTACGTTGGACAACCATCGCTTGTTACTCAACCACAGCTTTGTGAAAAGTGCAACAACAATCAGGCTTTAAAAATCCAAGAATTAAATTCATTTGAACCTTTGAGAGAGGTAGGTTCAGCAGTGGTATTCTCTTCACTGATCTCTATTCATATTCCATAGTACTTATGAGGAGAATTTGGGAAACGATCAAGAACAGTTTTAGTCTGAGATCATTTCCTATATTCTCAACTCTAGAATGTTTATTTACTGGTAAGTAGGTACAGTCAACTCTCTCTAAGACGGACACCTTTGGGACCGGCACTAGTTGTCCATCTTAGAGAGATGTCCATCTTGTAGAGAGTCTAATAGAGGGAGCAAAGAAAGGCAGGGACCAACTCTAGGTGTCCATTTTACAGAGGTGTCCGTCTTATAGACGTGTCTGTTAAGAGAGAGTCGACTGTATCTATATGATATGTTAAGGAGAAATTAGATGATGGTCACCTTCAGGGGTCAAAGTGTTAGCCTTGTCACTCCTGATCACACCTAAGCTGCAAAAGAAATGGTACACTGTATGATAATAAACCTTTTTTTTTCGTTTGGTGGTATTTAAAGCACAAAGCAAAGGCTATTGAGGCCATGCAAATATATTAATAACAAATATTTCAAATGGAAGCTATGAAGATGTTAAAAAACTTACTTGCTTGATTGAAGGCAAACTATTTCAAAGTGTGCTCAATATTCTTTCTGGAAAGATAAACAAGTCAAATATGCAAAATACCAGAAATGCATTATATATAAGATGCGCTGCTATAGGGGTATTTAAAGAGGGTAAATTTGTTCTGTATCCTTCTCTCTGATCTATTTTGATTGGTCACTGGTTATTTTATAGTGTGACTTTGAGTCTGAACTGAATCCTCACAAGCAGAAACTGGATCAGAAATACCCACTATGCCAATCATGCCAGGACATTGTTAATCATCATTTGAAGACACAAGCCATTGATCTCAAAACATTCTTACTGGACAGTCACCTTCAACAGTCCAAGTCTACTCCAACAAAGGTGTGTTTATTTATAGTGCAGAGGATTTAGTAGTTCTGCAGGGCAGCATATCTGGAAAGGAGCTCTTGTCGTCCTGGAAATGTGTCAGCAAGATAGTGAAGCTTAAAAATATTTGTGGTTTTCATTTTTTTGTCTGATATGATAAGAATTTGGCCACCATGCATATGTTTATACACAGTAAATGCTCTCAATAATAATTAATTAATTTTAGTCATGTTAAATAGTACAATGTACAGAACTTTACTTACAGATCTCACCAACCTGCTCACTTACCCCCAAGTGGTTTTTCCAACTGGAATGAAAAAAAAAATATTGTTATTGTGGGTGAGAAGAGGAGCCCGCTATCCTAATCTCCAGATTGTTATCACACATGCGTTGCATGCATGTAGCCAGCATTCATTTGGACTTCCACTCACAATGAATGGAATGCACAAAACGCAATTTGGTCACACACATTTGGACCTTCACTCGTAATCTGATCACTTATGTGAAACTTACACAAAGTACACTAACACAGTGATGGAGCAATTATTTTGACCTTCAATTTTGTCACCCACACTCCATCTTTGATCACTAGTGCTAGTAAATACACCATGATATATTGAGTGCAGTGAAAGCCGTAGGGAGGGGGGAGGGGTAGGGCACTTGGTTGGGGGTGTTCATTCTGCTAGGGCCTTGGATCCCCTACCCTATTCTAGACTTAAATTGTACTTGCCAATGACCTCACACTGGGTAAAAGTGTCCTAGCCTTATTTCAGTATTTAGGATGGCAAGAAAGATATGATCAAAGCACAGTGACCCCATCTTGGATCCATTGTGGTCAGCAGCCAGCAAACATGATGGCCATGTCTTTTCTAGCTCGGCTAGACTTCATTTGATTTTTCTTTTTTTTCCTGTTTTTTGACTTACTTTGAACTTTTGTTTTTTTAACAAAAAAATTAAGAACTAAGGAACAAAGAAATGTAACTTTAAGGTTTGGAGAAACAACTAAAATGAAAAATGAAATGATGAAATGAAATCGGTCAAAAAGGTCAAAAGGTCAAAACTGGGACCCCTTGACACACCTACAATAATAATTATTATTACTGTAGAAGGCAAAAGTTAGGACCCATTCAGTGACACAGCTACCTATAAGTTGTCCATCCCACCCCACCCCCCCCCCTAATCCAACCCCAGAATGGCATCCCAAGGTTATAAATTATTTGAGTTCAAGGAAATAATAGTAATGAACATTTCCATTCCGTTTTGTTTGATGTTCCATGCAGCTTCTCAAAAGATCTTCATCTCCTGAATCAATATTTCTGGTGCTGGTTCAGTTGGTCTGTGTTCTTCTTGCCTCTTTACTGGTTTGTAATGAATATCATCCTGATGACCATAGCATGTGTGGTGAGTTACACAATAAAATATTATCTGAATAAATCATTATTATCTCTTATATGACAGCAGTGTCAATAGTAGCTTAAACTACCAGAGTGAAAATCTCCAGCTAGCTTTGTACGTGTAGTTCTTTGTGGGACACAAGTTTTGTTGTGAAAATATAACTGTATTGCTATTGATATTTACAAAATTTCAATGAATTGCACTAAAATGATCGGTCAGAGCAAGAATTAGTCTTTATTTTACATGTAGTTATGGTGTATGGTCCATATTTTCTTGAAATGTGTTCGTGTTTTTTACCATTGCAGGTAAAAAATACTCATTTTGGAACAGTCCCCATGTGTTACACAGTACTTTCTTCTCTTATTTAACCTCTTCAAATCATAACTTTACCGCCAAACAAATAGTGCTTCGCTTCCCTGGCCTCGTTAAAAGTATAATGATCTCATTGTGGTCAAAAGGGTTGGAACTGGCTTTCTGTTTGTCAAGTAAGTGGCCTTTTATGATATAGTCTAAAGTCTCTTAATAGGCTGATTGAATGCTAGACTATGAGTAGTCTCTCTTTTTTCTTAGTCCATTGGGCAAAATGTGCGAGACATGCAAATGACCATGTGTGTGACTGCTGCTCGACACTCTTGTGCATGCGTGCACTCTCCTCACTAAATCTGACAAAAAAGAGAGACTGCTCGCAGTCCAAGTGAATGCTCTTATGAGCTGAAATACATGAAATTCTTGAGTGCTGATTGCCTAATTTTTCTTATCGATTTGTAACTGTTTCAGTTTTGACTGTTCTAAGATTGAAAAGGCTAAACAAAATTTCAAAAGTCATTTTTTGATTTAAAGAAACAAACAAACAAACCAATGATCAAACCAAAGGACTTCATCCACAGAATAAAAGTTTACATTTAGAACTACATAGGTATTTTTAAATACCATGTGAACATACTGCTGCAGAGGTTTCTTGTGACCCAGAAGCCAAAGATCTGTTATGTTTGTGTCATTTCATTTTGTTAATTTTTCTTTTGGGTAGGTTTGACAAAAAGGAGATACTTACATGTTTCTTTGGCTTGCTTGTTACTAAATATCCTGATATTTTTGAAGAGAAAAACCAGGTATTTAAAATAAATTAGTGGAGGTTTCACTACCATGTTGTCTAAGGATATAGATGTGTAACATAAGGGAATGCAATGTAAGTAGTCATCGTGGCGGCGAATTACCAATCGCAAAACTTAATGGCCAAGAATTTCCCTGTAAAGGTCAATTGTTGTTGGACTATAGAGTTACCTTACTAGTAATTAATTTAAACTATTCCTGTGGTAGTTGAACTGTTTTCTGATGTAAACACTTTCTCTTTTCGCAATTAAGTGAGGGTCCCCAATAGGTCAATCCCATTACACCGATCCAAAATTTCGTGCAATCCCGTAATCCTGAGGGTTATTTTTGGCATCCCACCTCCCGCGCATACCTTCAATCCCGAATCTTGCCCGATTTTGCTTTAAAATCCTGAATCCCGAGCCTCAAATAAGGGAAATGCCGGATCACGAAAAACCTATTGGGGACCCTCTTGAGTTGAATAGCTGCTTGCCATTTGAGTGAAAACTCACAAGACAGCGTATAAGCTCCCACGTAAAGAGTTTGGCTATGGTTAGTGGTTGCTAATGTGAGGCAAGGGTAGCCTGTTCCAGGCTCTCAGATAGTGGGGATGAAGCGCAAAAGTGAGAGACACGCAAAAATTTGAGGGTGTGATTTGGGAAAAGGGGGCGCTTTCTCATGCAGACCCGACCATCGCGGAGCCTAGAACAGGCTAAAGTAAGGGGGACAGAGGGTGGGGTCAAATGATGATTTGAATCAGAGGCCACGTGCAAAAATTCAGCTGATTTGGATGAAAAAAAAAAATCACCCAAAACGTCACTTAACATTCGGTTATACCAAGCCCTTCAAGCAGTGCATTTCTTGTTTTATACAAGCACTGTAATTACATTGGTTACTTGTTGACGCTTTGCAGTAGTTACAGTGTGGCTACTTGAACTGGGGCACTTGGATGAAGATGGTTCAATCACAATGGTTTGTGAAAACAAAAGATTCTCAAGATTTTTTGCAAGTGCACTTCTAAAATTCAACATTCAACTATGCAACCATTGAAAACTTTTAAACCGTTTGAACGTACCTGACCTCTCAGGAAACAGCCCTCAAATTTATGAATGTTATTGGTCTGCTTGCAAAAAAAACTTGAGAATCTTTTGTTTTCAGAAATCGTTCTGATTAGACAATCTTCCTCCTAGTGCCCCGATTCGACTAGTAGCACGATAAAAGGTAGAAACGGACGTGAAATTGCGTGGACTGATTCTTCTGTGAGTTAATGCATATAACATTATTGCTGCTTTGCATTTTTGCAGATTTGGTATTCTGACTCTGTTATCTTGGACTGTCCTGTCTGTTTTAAGATTTTGGTGAGTAATATGAAGTAGAAAAACATATTTTGCTGAAACAATTTATTGATATGGTGATTTATTCTCGTGATTCTTTGTTTGGTGGGCGGGGGATGCCTCGTGCTAAATAAACCAGGTTAAGCTGTCGCCATGCGGTCATTGGGGGTGCGCAAACGAGTCATTTTGTTAACGTCCTCTTCGCTAATTAGGTTTTTTCTTTACCTATGAGAAGTGAAGAACAAAAAAACACTAAGTAAAAGGATTCAGCAATGTCAACATTATAATTCGTGGTTTTATTTTCTGTTTCTTTCAGTGAATTGTTTTGGTGGAAGACTGACTGTAGATGGCGATTCATCAGCGCAACATTATGTTGGTTTCTCAGCTCCTCTTTATTTCTGTTTTCTCTTCTATCATACTCAAGAGTGCTGGGAAAACACAAGAAGAGAAGGTAACTGGATGCTTTGATAGAGCTGATATTTAAGAATATTTGCATGAGGCTGAGTTGGCCTGCGTATAGCCGTACCCTCCCCCCGTTTTTCCTTTGTTTGGGGGAGGGTGCGGCTATACGTAGGCTAAGGCTGAGTATCATTTGAAAAATTATGGAGTTCTAAGGCCGAGGCGGACAACACCCTCTTCGATCTCCATAATTCTTCATATGATAGAAAAGTCGAATTCAATAATTGTTTTATTATTCATTCAAAATAATTCCTAGTTTAAAAACAAGCTAAAAAACATCTATACGTCCATCGATGTTAGGTTCATCTTCAATTACCTGTTTATCAGCAAGTTTAGGAGATAAAGGGTTGTTCAGTTCTGTAAATATAGCTGATGTCCTCCGTCGAGTTGTATTCTTGCTGTTCTTGCTATGTTTTTGGCCAATAGTTCACCTATTTCTTCATCGCGAAACGAGTGAAATGTTATGCCATTTTCTACTCACATTATATGCCAAATCGAAAAATATCTGAAACCACTATCTTTCTGTATGTAAGCCATTTCAAGGCGATTTATGGTGAAAACAAATGAAAAAGGAAACCGTCCCTGCCGGCGTGCTACCTGTCTTATTCAAGATGGGGCCAAACGCATCCCTACTTAAATCATTCCACCCAAAAAACTAATTAACAAGTTTTCCTACCACAAAAAATTCCGGAATCGAAAATTTCAAACCCCCTAAAATATCCTTCGATCATCTGCGTCACTTAAAGGTTATGTGAGTGATTTGCCTGATAGCTCGCTTTATTAAATAACCAATAACTTCTGTTGTAATACGTCCTGGATGTCGTTTCTCTCTGTTGAGTATGACTGTTGTATTTGTAACAAATTACAGATACCGTATTTCTCCGAGCAAGTCAAGCTCAGATGAACATCAGACTACTGAATGTGAAATCATGGAGATTGACAGTGAGGTAAAATACCTTAAAAAATTAAATATGATTATAACTATTTTAAAATCTCTTTTCATGCTTCATATTCCTTTACATATTAAGTCAATTATTATTTAGCTTGTTAGCAGGCTACTTATTGATGTTCGCGGAGTCCTGCAAAAAAAATACCGTAAAATTCCGAAAATAAGCCCCTCCATGTATAAGCCCCTCCAAATATAAGCCCCACAAACTCGTGACACAAAAAACCCTCCGTGAAATCGCCCCTCCGAATATAAGCCCCCCGGGGGCTTGTACTTGGAAAATTGCCCTCAAATAGAAAGTAAAACAAAGCAAAAACGGTAAATTTCCTCCCAACTATAAGCTAGCCCAATTGATTTTGAAACGCAAACTTCCCTCCGTACATAAGCCCCTCCGAATATAAGCCCCTCCAAAAATAAGCCCCTCAAAAAGGGCCTTTGAAAAATATAGGCCCCGGGGCTTATTTTCGGAATTTTACGGTATATTCTGATGTAGGATGAATTTGGCCAAAGGAATGGCACATAAAGCTGGGACAACCCAGATACATAAGAAGATTTTCCCAGCATTGAAGGTACGGAACACCCACCATCCGGGCTAGAGTAATGTAGAGCTAAAGGGAGGGAAGGGAGGGGAAAGTGTTTCCTAAATTTCTTGTTCCAGTAATTTTAATTCTTGCTAATTAGAAGCTTGATTATATATTTTTTTTCAGTGCACTCCTCCAAATAATAAGGTAGCAACTGAACTAGACTACAACTTGAATGGCTTGTCATTGGACGGCTTGCGAACAGAAAGAAGAAATGGCTTCCATACACATCACTCATCCCCAGTCAACTCTGATAGGACAGGTATTATTGGAAAGCAAGCGTAGGTGGCAGATAGCCTAGTCTGTATATACAGCCTCGGTCCTCGGTCTTTGCGTGGACGTTCCTAGAGGCGAGTGGCGAGGAGAAACGGCTGTGTAAGCCACTGTAAAAATATAATAATATTCTTCATATTGTCGTGTGGGTAGTGCTTCATGTAAACCTAACCTTTGCACTATCTTTTGTGCCCGAATTGCACATACAATGCGGGCCAGTTTGTCGAAAATTTGCATACTCAGCGTATTTGCGCAAATGTTCAACGTTGGTCAAAATACACTTTATTACTTTTGTCTTTTCATACGTTCAAGAGTTCGGCAACGAAAGAAGTGAGTTGGAAGGTCTCCTTAAAATTCAAAATGCTCGCTGATAAACTGTCAAGATGACACCGAAACGGCGTTCTTTCTTGTCGGCGTTGTTTTTTACTTGTTTCTGTATAACTAAACCTTCGCCTCCTTAATCAGAGAAAAAGCTACTGGTTCTAGTGCAAGCCTCCTGTACGTACTCTGGATTCTATTTTTGGAAACCGGCCATTGCTCGTGCAGTTCGTGGACAGAACCCAAGATTTTGTGAACGTCAGGTTTACATGAAACTGTATCCAAGCGGCAATTTGAGAATTTTATGGTAGTTTTCGCAGTGGCCTATTCGTAGGCTACAGGTATCTTAACTCGATTCGAAGTTGCCTAGTCTCCTTGCGCTGTTTTACCAGGCCTTCTCGGTCAATTCATTTCGGTGACGTAGGCGACTCGGTCGGACCACGTGACCCGATATACGTAGACCGCGCAGAATATTGAGGCCTAGGGACTAGGCAAGGTTCAAAGAAGATTGAGTTGACTTGACTTGACCGTTGTTTCGTCAGTTAAGACTGTGGTTTCTTTCGTAGGATCTTTCTGGAGACAAAATGTAACAATTAATAACGAGGAATCACCCTTAGTTTCCATGCAGCAAAGACCGCTAATAGTTCCAGCTACATTGCATTTCTCAGGCCTTCCACAAAAATCCAGCATCTATACTCAAGAAGCGATAACTGGTAAGACAGTTAATCTGACTCTTTTTTTTCGTGGCGGAACATTTTCTTTTTATTTCAGCCAGGAGCTCCTGTTTCAGCCACATCTCTGTGCATAGTTTTTATCTTACCATGCATCTCAGTTTACTTGCATGAGTTTTTCTCTTTTTTTTCCCGCCCCAACCTTCTATCGCTTTTTTCTAACGGTTCATCCATCACTAGCCTGTGTACAGACGCCCCTCCCCCCGTCCCCTCAGGAAAACTCGGATAAAGGCCCACTTCTCCGATTTTTCCTGAGGGGGGAGGGGTATGTACACAGGCAGGAGGGTGGTAGACTCCTGACACAGGCTATTCATCACAAGACTCTTTTTTCTTTTATTTTTTTATTTGTCCTTTCTTTTTATAATAGCCATTTTGGTGGCACTACAGGTTTCAGTTTAATTAAATTTACTTAGGTCTGGCGCTTTTCTCTTGAAAGTAATGAAATAGCGTAAATTGCAAAACCATGTGTCCAACACCTCACTGCTCCACTGCACGTTGTATTTTCATCTCTCCTCTAGGTGTTAAATATAAGATCAAGAACTGCGTCTTGTACTTGATGAGCTTTACGGGTTTTCTAATTCATATTTTCCACTGTCAACTGCACCACGAAAGTTACCTACCGGTTAAGCGTTTTCGTCGGTTCCTTACTCCTGTCCGTAAAAGTCGGCGTTCGTTTCCAGCCCGGGACCAAATTGATAAAACATTTTCAAGTGCAATTTGTAAGTGTGGTTATTGTTTTCCAACTCCGAAACAATTGCTACACTTGTAAATTACACTTGAATACTGAAGTTTTCTTAAATCAGCTCAGGTATACGCAAGGGGGGGAGTTGCATAATTTCATTTGCTGCAGGCGACTATTTATTTATTTAGTTAGTTAGTTAGTTATTTCATATTTAATAAACGCTCTTTATTGTTTCCAATATTCTTTTTAGTCACTCGACCTCTTGATTCAGCTCCTCGTGCTGACTCTTCCGATGACGATACTTTCTCGGATTCAACGGAGGAGGAACCTTGCGAGGTGAGAAAGAAGTTATTTCTCACAGCTTAAAAAATAGCGTGCGTGGAAGGCGTTAAAAGGGGAAGGGGAAAGGGGGAATTTGGGCGCGCGAGATCGCTTGTGGCGCGTGTGTCCCTCCTCCCTCGCGCGTGGTCTCGCGCCCTAATTCCCTTCCCTGTCCCTTTCGAACGCCTGCCACGCAAGCTGCTTATAAAACTACTCGTAGAACCAAGGCCGCGCCAGTATGGAGAAAATTTGTCACGAACAGAAGGGTCACTACCCTACCCGAGCCACCCTGGGCGAGTTAACTTTTCATACATTTCCATAAAAAACGTGGCGAACCGTTTACTTGAGAAATAAAACGTTGGCTCGGCTAGAAGGCCGGGTTAGCCTTTTTCGATGGTAGGTCACCCTCCTAGCTGGGCCATTTTTCTCCATATAAACACTTTGGTTCACCCAGCCAGGTCAACTGTGTTAAACTGGGTCAGAGCACGCGCGAGCGCTGTTTTTGACAATCAGGTTCCCGTTTTTCAAAAGTAAGGTTGTCACTAAGATTTCAAGGTGCCGAGTAAATACTACAAGTAGGCGGGGAATTAAACAGCTAGGGGTTTCTTTTCGTTCTATTTTTCTTTTCTTTTCCTTTGAAAGTAGCCGGGGGGCACGTTCATAGTAGGCCGGTGAAATCCCCGGCCCCCGCCTCTTAATGACCGCTCTGCCGGAAAGACCCGGCATTTAATAGGCATTTTATGTTTTTTCGAACGGCCCAGCATTTTATTTAATAGCTCAGTCCAATCTCATCTTGTAAGGATGTATTTCCACTGTCGCGTAACTTTTATATTACGTGTACGCGCGTAAATAAAAAAGAGGCAACGTAAGGAAAAAAGTTGACCCTTGCTAAGCTCAGTTTACTTTTACGCGCGTCCTTTCATAGATTGCTTCTAGTATTTCTTTTACGCTCGTAAAATTTACGTGCGTACACACGTAAAAATTACGCGACACTGGAAATCCACCTTAACGAACAGACTTCGCCTTGTACCACAGGGCACCAATGTTTGATGCTGCTACTCTTGATTTACATATTACAGAACTTGAAAATGTGGAACAATAAGCGGCCGAGCTCCGTAAAGAATGCAAAGAAAATAAAAAGATGCTCATCGAAAAGAAAGGCAGGGAGTCTGAGAAGACGTTTTTTGAGCGCCAGAACGCTTCTGCTACTTGTAAGCTTACTTTTGAACCTATATTTTCTTATTTTATTTACTGAGTGGCCCGCACGAATTTTACATTCTCTGTTGAAAATTTTGATAGGACTATACTGAATTTTACGCTGTTAAGATTGTATATTTTTCCCATCAAATTGATATTAAATTATTACATGCGTAGAATAATAGGTTGCTTTTCAAAGGATTCATATTAATGTAAGGATAGTTGAATAAAATGCTAGCAATCGCAGGTGCTGTAGGGGGCCATTTTGACTGGGTCTGGGTCTGTGTTGTGACCAAGTTGCCTTAATGCGCAACTTTTCAAGAGAGACGCAACACCAGTGAAAACGTGACTGAAAACCTGACTTCGCATCGTTTCAAACTGATTCTCGCAATTATTCTAACTTGCTCAGTTATTTTCAGACTGGCAAATTAATTTGGTGCAGAATTTAGGGGACTGAGTTCGAGCTCCGATAGATGCTATAAAAAATTTATCACCTTGCTGTTCAAGGGACGAAAACGAAATGCGCAGAAAAGCGTGATGCAAGTGCCTGACGCTCCCTTGGCGTTACGTAAGGTGCCTATTGGGACATCGCAGCTCTCCTAACCCTAAAAACCAATTGGTTTGATACCCTAACCGTGAAACAATAGGAAATAATGATAAACAATGATGTGTTATTGTTTTCTGCGACCAATGAGGAAACACCTTATAAGCAGCTCCTACATTACTGCCCTGTTAGGGAGCTTTAGCAACAACGACGGCGACCGTAGGGAAAACGTCACTATTAAAAAGTCTTCGGGTTTAAAGTCTGCCGCGATTATTTCAATCTGCTTAAAATGTAAAATGCCAGTAAATTTCCCAGGAATTGAATTCTTGGGGACCGAATTTAAGTTTAGAGGGAGAAAGAAAAAATTTCGTCCTGACATGTTTACATCCTCCATAAAACGTCGTCCAGCGAGGTAATTTCATGCTACCTCGTTCCCAGGGTTCTCTCTCTTAGGTTGAATTATACGTTCTGTTCGTGCAGCGACGGCAAAGAAATGTACGAAAAAGTGCACGTGCAAAAATTAACGTTGGTGTCTCCAAAACAGTCCCATGGTCCATTTCGACTTAACACCTACCCAGTCATAAGTGCACCTCACACTGGCATGTGACAATTATCCCACGATTAAAGCAGTCGTTGCAAGAATGGTTCCTGAGATAAACTTCAGTTATATGTTAAAGCCGTCTCCCTGATAAGCTTTACGTTCGTGTACATTTGCATTCAAATCTGAACAAGTTTTATTTGGAACCGTTCATGTTTACCTATATTTCTTCTGTACTGTTGGTCAAATTTAAAATTCAACAGCAGACACATGTAACATAGGCACCTTTAATATTTAGCCATTAAAAAGAACATGCTTTCAACGGTGGTCAAGAAACACAGGGTAACTAATCCTGTACCCACAAATCTTTCACCAGAGCTCTCAACTGTTGGTTTCCCTGTAGAGGGCCCATAGCTTGTGAGTTTTTCATGCATTAGAACTGTAACAGAGCCATCCTTTGGCTTGTACTGGCTTACTCCCAACGGCGCATGCTCTCTGGTGTGGTTGTTGTGAATCATCCAATAGATACTTGCCTGAGGATCCTAAAACAAAGAACGTTTTTAAGGTTCAAACTAGCCATTAAAAAGTAATGTTATATACAGTACAATCCCGATTTTTCTTTTGCTCTTGATTTTTCAAACGTCCCAGAGGTGCGAAAGATGTTTTTCACACGAGAGAAAAACCCTTCTCCAACATGATGACGACTTTCGCTTTTACCACTTAACCAGAAAAGCCTTTAGGAGAGAAGTTGTATTATTTTATGTGGATACAAAGAGTTTCTGGCTTTAAAAGTCCCATAACGTTCGAGATAAAAGGGCAAACGCGCGAGGACGAGGACGTTGTCTTCTCCCTCGCGTGCTTGCCGCGCTCGCTCGCACGTGACATGCTCGCCCATACGACAATCCTGAAGGAGTGCTAGCAGGCTATAGATAGACCAAGGTCTTCAATGGCTGTTGTTCGTTCTTTCACTTCCCCTTCGAATTCATAAGTGAGGGATGAAGTAGAGAAGACCAGTCCCTTAAGGACACCTCCCAATGAATGAAAGAGGTCTCATGTCACAGCCAGCATCTTCTCAAAGAGACCTTGATTTGGTGGTTCGGCCAGGGCTCAAAACCCGCGACCTCAGTACCACTCGACGCAAGGGGAAACATTAATTTCCCAAAGGTAAAAGCTACTCTCAGCTGGAAAAAGCTACTTTCTTTTGGGGGAAACGTTTCATTCCTTGGCCGTAAACTACCCCCAGGGAAAAAAGGGACTTCCCAAGGGGGAGCCCTTAGAAAAAGCGTTAGTGTAACTGCAACTAATGACGAAGATTAGCCAATCAGTTTGAAGGGAAATTAACGCACTCTTTGTAATTAATTTGTTATTTCCGTTGGGGGCCCGTTACATGGACCTCGGCGGTGCTTCGCAGACAGACCTTTCTAGTCGTGATTAGTTTACGCAAGTAAGTAGAAACACTTACCTGTGCGGTGCCGTTAAAGGCAGTAACAGAATGCCCCAGACCACCATGGTAAGTAGAGGCGTATCTATTGAAAGGACCTTCCGGATCTTCATCAGCAACCTTGTTGATTATATCCAAAAGAACAGTGCCATCTGTGACTTGAGTGGTGTGTGGAGCTGGGATTGGTTTTCCAACTAGCGTCACGTTCCAGATCAATGCAATGGTTACAGTGATGGGCGAGGCTGGCGACTAGATGAAAAGAAGTAGATGTACGTAGTTAAGTGGAAATTTCTCGTAAGTGTAGAATACGCTACTGCTTATGGTTATCTTTTAAATGCCAGCACCCATCACCCTATAACTCTACTTCACAGGCTAAAGAGGTGCCACATGACTTCTACAATAATAGTAAACGACACTACACAAGGTACTCGGTCTGGTCAGTATCTCCCTTCTTTATGACCACACCTGAAGATTTCCTTTCATCGACTACCTGACATTGCGGAACACATAGCCTGGTCTCGCGTGACTTCTCGCGGCTCCTCCAAATGGAGAGCTTGCTCGTAGGCTACGAGGCACAATGTACAGTATCGCGGGCCAGGGCGAAGGATTTTCGCGTTTAGCTTTCATTTGATTGGCCGTCTTTCTAGAATCAAAACTGCATGGTTAGAATGCCATGTGCTGCGAAATAAACAGCGTCACATGACGAGCCAAGTGTAGAAAACGTCGTCGCTTTCTAACGGACAGTACAAGCAAAGACATCTTGGCTATATACGATGATGATGATGACGACGACGAAGAATCTGGTATATTTTGAACTGACCACAATGACCTGGTTTCCAAATGGTTGATTAGCTCAAGGGATGGAGCGTTACGCCCGGCCATAATAAAAGTCAGGGTTCGATATTTCCCGTCTTTCAGGTTCTTTGTCAACCGCCTAGGTAGTTCATTCTACTGCAAAAATCAGGTTCACTTTCATATCTTTATCCGCAAATATTATTCATTTCATGTATAATAATATTATTGTTTTTTTAATGATAATGATAATGATAAACTCAGTGCCGTGAAAGCGGACGCATTCGTTCATTCTTTTTTGCTGAGCCTAGCGAGTAATCACCAAGAGAAGGGCACTACGGCCTATAGCGATAATGATCTCACTTGTGTTCTCTCCTTTCTACAAAGGCTACCTTACCTGGTGAGCGCTTGAGGCCGGTTTGCAATATCCACTCGTAGTGTGATTATGATCGGAGTCAGCAGAGTATGTAGTGAAACGAAAAATGATACTGGAACCATTTTCAGGAACGTAAAAATCAACGCCACAAGGAATCGTCTTCCCACTTTGCTCTTCAAGAATCATCCAACGCTTATTAGTCGTTGGGTCCTCCTCGATTCCGTACATACCGGTGATAACATAACCCATTCCACCATGGTAAACGCTATCGTATTTGTTGTAAGGCCCGTTTTTGTCGTCTTCAGCAGCCTTGTTTACCATTTCCATCAAAGTGGTACCGTTTTGAACTTTCATAACGACGCTCGCAGGAATGTCTTTCCCTACTCCCTGCACATCCCAGTCCATCTTTAGCGTGACTGTGACCTGTGTGGAAAGAGGGCCTTTTTTATGCTAGAGAAGTTTAGGTCGTCTGGTGTAAACACGGGACGCATAAAAGTAAACGAAACATTGAAACAAGCAGAGTTTTGTCAAAAAAAGACAAAACATCGATTCTTTTCAATGGTCCCTGGACAAGCCGCGTATAAAGGCGTCCCAGTTTACTGCGTCCCGTTTTCATACTACACGCATTTAACAGTGGTCTGTTATGTGCGCCAAGGGCTGGTGGTGGTGGGAGGTACTCCCTATAATAGCCAAAACGGGGAGGCTCCGCCCAAGGGGGGTACCTTTTTCAACCTTCAGGTATGTGAAAGGGAAGGGGTTTCTGTAGTTGAAGTATATGAAAGGATAGTGAAATCTGTCATTGCAGTCTGTACAAGTACCTAAAAGGGCTAACAGGCGCATTTTATGGCTGTGAGAAAGACTAAGAAAACTTTCTGGCTTGGTGATTTATTCATGTGTAAAAGAAAGTGCATTTTATAGCAGTTGAAAAGCGTGCAGCGTTCTAAATTAGTCGGTGAAAGGGGTGCCATTTGTCAATAAAAGCTATACGAAAGGGGTACCTTAGCTTTTCTTTCAAAAACGGTATATAAAAGGGTAAGGGGTTGGACCTCGGGGCGGAACCTCCCCGTATTAACTTTTGTTGAGTACCCACCCGGGTATGTGCGTCTGTCTTATATGCCGTTTTTATACTGGACGACGACCCTGTTTTTATAAACAGTAAAATTTGAACTAACCTACAACAAGAACTTCAGACATTACAAAAATTCCACGATGCGGCCAAGAAAGATCCGGAAGGGTAGGAGAGTTAAAGATACAAACAAGCGCCGAACACCTTTAGCTTTTATCGATAGTCTATTTGGCCACAGTTTAGTGTAGTCAGGAATGAAGGTACTACATTACATTGTAGATAGTTGTATTGTAAACATACATACATATCAGTTTAGAAAATTACAGGCACGCTGCTGTAATCAAATGGTGACGAGT